GCAGCAGGCGGCGGCGGCGGCGGCGGGGGCCCAGAGGGGCCCGCAGCAGCCGCAGGTCGGCGAGGCGTCGCCGTTTGTGCGCATGCCGTCGTCTTCACCCTCCCTGCCGCCCGCAGCGCTTGCGGCCCAGCAGCAGTCACCCCTCACCCCCGGCGCCGGCCCCGGCGCCGCCGCAGCGGCCGCGGCGGCCGCGGCGGTGTCGCTCGGGCCGGGGGAGGGCGGGGGCGCGCTGCCCCTGAATGTTCAGTCGGCGCTGAGGCAGCGGCTCCAGCAGATGCTGGCTGGGCACGAGCAGCAGCGGGCGGCGCTCGAGGCCGAGTTGCGGGGCCAGATGGCGTCCGTGCTGCACAGCATGGCCAATTCTCAGGTGCGAGTGTGTGAGAACAAGGGGAGCGTGTGTGTGCGTGTGTGTGTGTGTGTGCGCGCGCGCGTGTGCGCGCATGCTTTCGTACCGGCGTGACATGGGGAGGGCCAAAACATGGCACCGGCAAGAAATGGCGGGCTGTGCTTGTCGGATGCTTAGTGTTCGCCTCTCCCAAGGGCCTCAGGGATTGTTGCCACAGAGAATTGTGTCGACGCGTGGTGGTCCTGTGATTGTCTCCCTGCCCCTCTCTCACCCCCCCCCCACCCGCACGGCGACGCGTGCGGGCGCGCTTGTGGCTCGCGGCCTCACACCCTCCGCTGCCTCTCCCCGCCTTGGACCCTGTCGCCCCCTCGCGACCGCAGCAAGTCCCTGAGGCGCACCGCGCGCGCATCGTGGGCATGCTTGAGAAGCGCCAACAGGACCGGATGGCGTCAGTTGAGGAGGAGCAGCAGCGCCAGCTGGCGCACTTCCGCGCGTCGGTGCTGGACCTGCAGCAGAAGGCCGCGGAGCAGATGCGCGCGGCGCAGCAAGCCGCGGCGGGCGGCGCGATGGGCGGCGGCGGCGGCGGCGGGGCGCCGATGCAGCTGCTCCAGCAGCAGCAGCAGCAGCAGCAGCAGCAGCAGCAGGCAGCGCAGGCGCAGGCGCAGGCGTTTGGGCAGGGCGGCATGGGGCAGATCCAGGTGTCTGCGCCGATGATGCAGCAGCAGCTGCAGATGCAGATGCAGCAGCCGCAGGGTCTGGCCAAAGACCAGGGGGCGCTTCACATGCAGGCGATGCAGGCGATGCAGATGGAGCAGAGGCAGGCGTTCATGCGGCGACTGCAGGAGCGGCAGCTGCAGCTGCAGGCGCAGGCCCAGCAGCAGCAGCAACAGCAGCAGCAGCCTCAGCAACAGCCACAGATGCACAACTGTGGGGGCGGGGGCGGTGGGAGCTTTGTCAACTGGGGTGCCGGGCCAACACAGTGATGAGCGCAGTGCTCGGGCCATGCGGCCTGCCTGACGCACTCCCGTGACGCCCCTTGCTCCTGGGCGGCCGACATCAGCAGCGGTTGGGCACCAGCCCCTGCTGCCCAGTGGCGCCCGCCTCGACCTCGCCACCTCGTGCCATCGAGGCCTCGCTTTCGTCTCTTGTGACACCTGGGAGCTGCGCCGCGCAACCCCCTCCCCCTGACCAACCCCCAGCGCGCCGGCCTGCGCACGCCAATCCGAGGTTGCCTGGCGCCCAGCGCCGCCGGCCCCTCAACACACCTGTTGCCTCGGCTACAAAGCAACGCGTGCGCATGGCTCAATGTTTAGCGACGCCTGCAGGCTTGGATCCTCAAAATCGCTTCGACCTGCCGCTGGCTCGGCGCCCCTGCCGCCGCCCGCCTAGCGCCTAGCGCATATGTGAAGCGTCGACCTAGCAGCTCCTGTGTGGCGCCCTTTGCAGGCACTCCCCGGCTGCGTACACACCCGTTGACCCTGGCCGCCGGCCGCGGCCATATGGCTTCCCCTCCTCTCTGCATCTGATTCGCCCCGCCGCTTGATCCACCCTGCCGCTCCACCCCAGCCTCCCTAACCCCGATGGCATCTAATAAGCGCGGTCGGCACGGCGTGTTACCTTCCTCTGCCAACTTTGCTCTTTGTCCCTGCTGAGAATGCTCTGGCCCGGACGGTCGTTTTTATAATAGGGCATGGCCCAGGGCACGCGCCGCACGCTTGCGCACGCCACACTGCAGCCGCGACCAAGCGCCCCCCCCCCTCCACGGCAGCTGCGCCTGCGTGCGCGGCGCGATGCGCGCGGAGGTTTTCAAGCGCCTAGCAACGCGAGCACACGTCTGCAGTGGGGGCCGTGCGAAGTCGCCGGGCAGCCTGTCCGCTCCGCGTGCGGCGCCCCGGCGGGCGCGGTTCCTTGCTTGAATACGTGTTTCATGTGCATTCGTCTGAGTGCAGCACATTGGGCTCACAGCACACCCTCTGTACACTTGCATGCGCGGCTGGTCGGTCGTAGGCAGTGAGGGCGGCCTTCCGAGGAACCACGCACCACTGTGAATATGATGCATCACGCAAGCCGCCCCAACACAGCGCGCACCACGCACAGCAGGGAAGGGGAAGCGTGCACGGCGGCGCTCGCTTGCGCGCTCTGCATGGAATATGAAAAACGACGACTTGCGTATGGGTCGGCATGTCTGCCCGCGGCGAGACTCAGCCATAATTGCCCGCTCTGTGTAATGAAGCTCCTGTTTCAGCCGCCGGCCCCACCGCTCAACAGTCAACCCAACTCTCTCAATCTACTGTGCCAGCGCGGGCGCGGGCGCCTCTAAATGCCCGCATCCACCCTTGAATGACCCCTGCGTGGCCGTCCACAGGGCGAAGCAGCCGTGCCCGCCGCCGCCCGCGGCCCACATCCAAGCCCACAGCGGCCCCTTGAGGCGCCACTCCGCTGCGATTGCCATGAGCTGCCTGCGCATGCAAACAGGCCAAAGGTCGGGCAGCAATGTAAGGCAGGAGCAGCAGCCACACGGGCGAGCCAGCGGCTTCAGTTGCTGCCCGGGGCTGCACACACAGAGCGACCACCGCCCAACAGCAGCAAGCGCTGCAGCAACCATCGCCCTCGCTCTCTTGTCTGTTGCCCACAGCCTGCCCCGGCTGCGCAGCTCTGCTGATTGCGGCACTAGAGGCCTACACTGCCGCCGCGGCCGCATACGCATCCCCCTCCCGCCCCTGCTGTGAAAAGTACCAGGCTCGCAGACGCATCACGTTTCAGATGCACCCTCTGCACCCTCTCAACCCAGCACCGGCAGGCCGCCAACACCCCCTGCCCTTTCTCGCTCGTGCTGTCGCTCGCCGGGCACGTGCCGCATCGGTGCTGCTGAATGCAGCAGGACCTTGTGGAGGTGGCCGAGGTGCCACCCACCCACACAGGCGCCGGCCGTCCACCCACACAGGTGCCAATCCCACACCCATGCAGGCGCCGGTCGCGGTCCTACCCAAGCCGTCCTGGAACACCCACTTGGGCGCAGGCCGCGCACCCACCAAGGCGTGCTGCACCGCGGCCAGCCGCGGCGCCTCCCGCGCCCTCGGGGCCGCCCTGCCGCAATGGCCGTCGGCCAGCGCCGCCGGCACCGCCGCCGCGGCTGCCGCGCCCGAGGAGCAGCAGCGGCGCCACCTGCGCAAGCAGGTTTGAGAGTGAAAGGGCGCAAGATGCGGCGTTCAGGCTTGCGGCGTCTTGGCGGCAAGAGTAACGGCGGGCTGCGCCGCCCCGCAGCTTGTTTGAGAGAGTGGACGCGGCGCCAGCCGGCGGCGGCGGCCGCACATGTCAGGAGGGCGTCCAACATGGCCCAGGTGCCTGGTGCAATCACCCAGCTGCGTTTGGTGAAAAGCGCCGGCGTCGCCCGCGCCCTGCCCTTGCCTGCTAGTGGACCCGACTCGTCAACGCATTCGCAGCCAAGTGACAGCGGATGGCTCGGCTGGTTTCGGCCCAACGCCATCAACTTGAATGCACCCATCAGTGCATGCACATGCCAAAGTCACATGCGCACACGCGCGAAAACCCGCGACATGCATGCATGCATACATACATATGTGTAAAAGTGTGTGCCTCCGCCCTCTCCACACACATGCACGTGCGCGCACACACACACACACACACACACACACACACACACACACACACACACACACACACACACACACACACACACACACACACACACACACACACACACACA